AATGGAATGCTGGGAAGCCCCATCGCAGGCCGGCGCTTATTGGATCAACCTGGCCAAAGCATTAGGCAATGTCCTGTAGGGAATAACCCTGCCTAGATCCTATGGAATAAACAGTCTGGAGACTCTGAGGCCCTTTTCTATCGCTGAGTTCTGACAGAGCCCCGAGTTTTCTGCCTTTCTTTGTCCTGAACAGCTGGTCAGGCTGGGGAGGAATCTGAATTGAACTGAACCAGGGCGTGTGGGAATCTGTGTGGTGCAGCCCTCGGATGGGTCAGCAGATGATACTGGGACCCCACCCCTCTAGGGGATGTGGAGTTTGCCAGGCGCTCATCTGGCAGAGTGAAAATCGCTGAGCTGTACAGAGCGGAAGCAGAGGCTGCCTGGGGATGAGCAACCCACCTGCCCGGGGGTGGAGTCTGCTGGCTGTTGAAATGGGTCCCTCTCCTCCCATGCCTGGTGCTGCCGTTCACCCTCTGGCCTGCCCTGCCCTGCCCTGAGGTCGTTCCCACGCATCCCAGAGATGCTGCTGTTGTTAGTCCTAGGAATTGTCATAAGAACGGCCACACTGGGTCATACCAAAGGTCCATCTAGCCCAGTATCCTGTCTTCTGACAGTGGCCAGTGCCAGGTGCCCCGAGGGAATGAACAGAACAGGTAATTAAGTGATCCATCCCTTGTTGCCCATTCCCAGCTTCTGGCTAACAGAGGCTAGGGACACCATCCCTGCCCATCCTGGCTAATAGCCTTTTATTGACCTATCCTCCATGAATTTATCTAGTTCTTTTTTGAACCCTGTTATAGTCTTGGCATTCACAACCTCCTCTGGCAAAGAGTTCCACTGGTTGAGTATGCGTTGTTTGAAAAAAACATACTTCCTTTTGTTTGTTTTAAACCTGCTGCCTATTAATTTCATTTGGTGACCCCTAGTTCTTGTGTTCTGAGAAGGAGTAAATAACACTTCCTTATTTACTTTCTCCACACCAGTCATGATTTTATAGACCTCTATCATATCCCTCCTTAGTCATCTTTTTTCCAGGCTGAAAAGGCCCAGTCTTACTAATCTCTCCTCATATGGCAGACGCCCCATACTTCTAATCATTTTTGTTTTCAGAATCTTTTCCAATTCCAATATATCTTTTTTGAGATAGGGCGACCACATCTGCACCCAGTATTCAAGATGTGAGCGTACCATGGATTTATATAGAGGCAATAGGATATTTTCTGTCTTATTATCTATCCCTTTCTTAATGATTCCCAACATTCTGTTCACTTTTTTGACTGCTGCTGCACATTGAGGGGATGTTTTCAGAGAACTATCCACAATGACTCCAAGATCTCTTTCTTGAGTGGTAACAGCTAATTTAGACCCCATCATTTTATACGTGTAGTTGGAATTATGTTATCCCATGACAGTTTACTTTGCTTAAGAACCTTTGGTGAGGAACCTTGTCAAAGGCTTTCTGAAAATCTAAATACACTTTATCCACTGGATCCCCCTTGTCCACATACTCGTTGACCCCTTCAAAGAATTCTAGTAGATTTCTAGAGTTGTGGCCGCTCTCCTCTGCCTGTTGGATGCTTCCTACCACCTGCAGATTATACTGCTGGTTCTATACGCCCAGTGGCTGCAGAAGCCAGAGTGGGACCTGTTATGACGGCATCACCTTTTCCAGGGCCTAGTGCTGCTTTCCAACTTGGATGCCACGCTGCGCATGAACAATGCCCGCTACCTACACGAGGCCAACATAGACTCATTCATGTCCCACTGCGGGATGTTCCAACCCCTCAGCCCCTTATGGGGCAACACCATGCTGGATGCCTCCTGCTCCCTTCCCTGCCACTCCATGCTCCTCCTTAAGCACTTTGCCGTATGCACCCACCTGATGGGCTGGGACGCCCGTGCCTTCTCCCTGGAGCAGCGCTTTGTCAGCTCCCACCACGGCTTTGCCTGCGTCATGCTCTCTGCTCACACCATGTGATTAGCAGCATCCCTGCCAGGAGAAGGTAAAGCCGGGTACATCCGAGGGGTCTTGAAAGCCAGCAATGTGCAGTGTGGTCATAGGGCTAACCCGTCAAAAGAAGACAGAAAATATCTGGGTACCAAAGCATGGTATGAGTAATACAGCAGCCAGGATAGCCAATCAGCTACAGATGCAAGCATGGAGGGAAGCTGGCACAGTGGGTAGCATGCTTACCTGGGACTGAGGAAACCTTGGCTCAAGTCCCTGCTCTGGCATAGGCTCCTTGTGTCACTTAGTCTCTCTGTGCCTCAGTTCCCCATCTGTACAATGGGGATATTAGCACTGTCCTACCTCACAGGTGTGTGGGGAAGAGAAATATATTAAAGGTTGTGAGAAGCTCAGATACCATGTTAACAGGGGGCTGTCAACTGCTCTTGGGGCATTCTCTCTAGGGGTCTGAATTGATCCCTTACAATTAGACTAGTGCATAGTCTCAATTTAGGTTGCATTCATCAGCCCTTAAACTCTAGCATTTGCAGTCTCCTTGTCGGTTTCTTAGAGGCAGCTTGGATTGGGGCTGTTGCCTCTTTGCTATCACGGGTCTTTTCCTCTCTGTTCTCCCTCCTTTATAGCTGGGCTTGTTTCTTTAGGGATCACAGCTGTGGGTGCCTGCCTCCAGGACTGGCTATTCTGGCAGCTGGGCGAGGAGGTGTTCAGTCTGATGGCCTGGGAGCAGGGAAAGCCTTCCTTGCCCTTCTGCCCATGCTCAGTATGGGGTTTGTAAACCCCATTGCAGGGCCAGATAAATACCTAAGGTAGATGTATAGACAGTTAGTTAAGTGAGAATTGGGCTGTCTATAAATGCATACAGTGGGTCTGACTCACTGCTCTCTTATGCCTTCAGTTAGTGATGGAAAAGTGGAGGAATGCAGTGATCAGCTGGGAGTAGGGTGACCAGACCGCAAGTGTGAAAAAGTGGGATGGGGGTGGGGGGTAATAGGCGCCTATGTAAGACAAAGCCCCAAATATCGCGACTGTCCCTATAAAATCGGGACATCTGATCACCCTAGCTGGGACCCAGGTGTTCTGTATTGTGGTGGATTTTTTTTTAATGGTATATCAGTCCAGAAGTTTCTCCAGTGCTGCTGTGTAAAAGACCTGGGCAAATAACCGAGGGGACTGACTATATAGGGGAAGGAGTCAATCCTTCTGTGCAAAGTGCTGCCCAAATGCACACAGTGAATATCCGAGAGAGAGAAGAATTTCTCACTGATGTCTCAGTTCCAGGAATCTTGGAAGTTGCTTTGCAACAACAGCAGGGACACATTTACAGACGAGTGTGATTTTTGTTCTGTTTAGTTTTTTCAATCTGACAACGTTCCTGTTCAAGAAAAAATAAATTTCACCTTTACAGAAAATTGTAGCGGGTTTAGAGCAGGGGTTCTCAAAATGGGGGTCGTGACCCCCTCAGGGGGGTCACAAGGTTATTACATGGGGGGTCACGAGCTGTCAGCCTCCACCCCCAAGCCCCGCTTTGCCTCCAGCGTTTATAATAGTGTTAAACACACACAAAGTGTTTTTAATTTATAAGGGAGGTCGCACGCATAGGTTTGCTGTGTGAAGGGGGTCACCAGGACAGAAGTTTGAGAACCACTGGTTTAGAGAATGCTCATCTTTCCTTAAAAATTTCAGTCCGTCTATAGAATTCTATAGCAGGGATATGAATCCCTATAAAATTCTGTAAGCCAGTTTCACAATGTTAATAGGCTACGGTTCTCCCTAAAACCCTGTTGTTTTTTATGTGACTTGACGTATAAGCTTATTCAGTTTCTGTAGAATCGTATTAGTTTAATCCCTATTCAATTGCAAAGGACTTGTCTATAAGAGAAATGTTTCAGTTATTGCCCTTTTTGTGCTTTTAAAGGTAGATGAATGGGATTTATTAGTAATGGGTTAATAGAAAAGTGACATACGCTTAGGATCGCTCTGCTAGTGAGAGAGAAATCGCTTGATAATGACAGGCCAGATCTTCAGCTGGTATAAATGAGCTTAGCTGCATTGAAGTCAGGGGAGCTCCGTCAGTATCCACCAGCTGAAGGTGATGTTGATAGCGCTGTGTGGCGCCGACAGAAACAGGCCCAAACTGCCAAGCTTGGGTGCCCCAAGTCAGACCCGAGAATCTGAATTCAGCCCCTTGAACAGAAGTGAGCTGACTCTCCACGGTGCTGGGTTTTTCTAGCCCCCCCCTGACATCAGTGGGAGCTGTCTGAGCTCAGCACCTCTGAAAACCAGGCCCCTTCTACTTAGGTACCTACCTGAATTTTGAAAAATTCTGGCCCATAGCACCAGGCATCAGAGGCTACTGAACTCTCTCCTGTCCATGGCACTGTGCCCAGAATGGACTATTGCAATAAGACTAAGGCCACATGGTAGCTGCAGCTCTTACCATGTGCAGCAGCCTGGACCCTGGCAAAGAGAGGCTGTGAAACGCTGCCTGTGTTTCTTGAGGCCCAGCAGGAGATGTAGGCTGAGAAGGCCTGGGATTCCGGAGATGCTCACAGCAGGTGGAGCTGTGTAACCCAGAGAACACATCTGTATGTTGTAACTAGAGCGGTAATCACTGGTAAGGAGAGGAAAGCAGGCCTAGCTTGGGAGTTGGAAAGATAAGAAACGCGAGCAGCAAGTAGAAAATAGGGAAGATTTTCAGCCCTGGAGTGTTCTTTTGTTAAAGAACTTATTTCAGTCTTACAGTGCGCACCATGGTTTAATCCGAGTGGTCTGGATATACTAGTCCTTGATACATAGTCCTGCCATGAGTGCAGAGGACTGGACTGGATGACCTCTTGCGGTCCCTTCCAGTCCTACCATTCTATGATATCCAAAATATTGGGGGAAACATAATGGACAGGAAGGGGAGTGGTGCACGTTGCTGAGCTGAGCCTGATTTGAGGATTCACTGAGTTATCTTGTATGTGACGCTGGCAGGGAATCTGTAAAACCTAGGCCCTGAACCAATCTATCCTGCCTCTGTTTCCTCCAGGTGGACTCCCCAGAACTTCCAGAGGAGGTGCAGCATTGGATCAGCTACAACGAAGCCAGCAGCCAGAAGCTAAGAGCTGAAAGCGGCCTGGGAATCAATACCAAGGATGAGTAACCAGACGTTGTTTTCCCCCGCCTGTCTTTCTCCAGACTGCAATAGACCTGTGCTCTAAACAGACCCAAGTGCTGTATTCTCATCAGCTTTCCTGCTCATGCCGCTGCGGATAAGAGACTGATCCAGATTGCCATCAGCTTGCTAGACAAAAAAGCCAAACGGCTGGCTAGGAAAGGACCCCCAGAAACCTCACTAAATTGGTTAAAGCCCTCTCTGACCTCACTGGTACACTGAGTTCTGTGGTGGCTGGGTAGCACCTACAGCCCCAGCACAGTGGGGAGTGGTACCTTTTGGTCTTTAGAAGGGAGTTTGCTTTCACTAAAAAAAAATTATTTCCAGAGACTGGTAACATCAGGAAAACAAAACTTTGGTGCAGCCCAACCTGCAGGGGCTCTGGGGCATCAGCACATCTAACATCCTCCTCCCCCCCCCGGAATTGGAAACATCCACCCCCACTAGCTGATGTGTTGATGCCTCCACTGTACCCACAATCCTTTGCAGTAGCCCTGCCTCCACACGCCTTCAGTCATTAACACTAGCACTATTTAAAAAACCCTGACCCCAGCCGCATTCATTTATTAACAACCCTATCCTACTCTGAACCCTATCCTAGGATTTGTCTGGAGGGAAATACATCAGTGCCGTGGCAGGGAGGCTAACCTGGTGTTTGCTAGTAAATAAGGCTTCACCACATACATATGTTGTCTCCATCTTTAGACAGAATGAATGTGATCACCAGGGTTATTCCGAGCGTATTTGGGAGAAGTGGGTTAGGACCGGGAGCCTCCTGCGTTCCCATCGTGGCTGTACCACTGAATTACTGTGTGACCAATCTCTCTGTGTCCTGGATTACTCAGCTGTGAAAGGGAGATGCTACCTACCTACCTCCCAGGGGTGGGTGTGAGAACTACTGTAATTCACTGATGTTTCTAAAGTGCTTTGAAGAGGAAAAGCACAGCGCATGTGCTAAAGTATCCCCTGGCCCTGCTTTTCTTATCTGTGTAGCTGCAAATGGGTTGTGCGTTGTCTTGAAATCCTGACCTACGCAAAGTCCTAGGAGTGCTGGTTCAAGGTGTTAGCTAAGAGCTTTCCTAATGCCTTCTAAAAGGTAGTAGTGTAGACAAAGCTGTGTATATGGCGCATGGTAATATCTACACTAGACTATTAGAACGTGTCATGTCTTAGCTAACAACAAACCTTGAAATCCTAGTCAAGACGAAGCCTTTGAGTATCTGCACTTGGGAAAACCGGGACTGTAACACTCCACTGGTAGTGTAGTTGTAAACAGGATTCAGAGCAGGGGTAGAGGACGCAGCGGTAAATACATTGTAGCACTGAATGGGCTCCAATCTCTCTTTATTGGTAGACACCATTGGAGCGGCAGGAAAAACACAAATGGTCCCAGCGTAGACATGACCCAGGTGTTGCAACCTGCTTTAGAGCAGGACTCAGGGAATTCAGGTCCCCTTTGCCCATGTAACCAAACAGGGCAATTTTCTTTCTGAGTGTTGGATATTTGATTGTATTTATATTTGGAACAGTTCTTGTTATGTACTCGTTATGTACTTTGTAAATGGAAGATTGCTGTATATTACGTGAACATTTTCCTCTAATGAGCACTTTACACCAGGACTGTATGGAGGGAACATGTTTTGAAGTGTGGCTAACCTGTGAATTTGTGCATGTGTTCTGTAATCTAAATACCAGTTCCTCCTGCGGTGGTCTGAACCCAGACAGTGAGATAGCTGTGAATTGCCTCTGAATGTATATTTATTGCCTCTTCTAATGGTTTTCTTGACTTGCAACTCCTACTTACTGGAACTGCTTAGCCACAATATCTTAACATTTACTTGAAGACATCAAAGGATTCTAAATGAGATGAAATCCTGAGAGAAACTTTGTTTTTTAAAGGAATAAATGGATCCATTTGCACTGCAATCTAGCAACGCTGTCAGGCATCTGCTTAACTTTGAGTAGGTGGAGGCTACTCTGTGTCCTTACAATTAAGCATATGCTTCAGTACTTGGCTAGAACAAGGCTTTGGGGTATAAACATTAACCAGACACTGTCAGATGGTGGAAAGAGAGAGAGAGAATCATAGAAGTGTAGGACTGGAAGGGACCTTAATAAGTCATCTAGTCCAGTCCCCTGCACACAAAGCAGGACTAAGTAATAACCAGCCCCTCCCTGACAGGTGTTTGTCTGAGCTGCTCTTAAAAACCTCCAGTGATGGAGATCCCACCCCTTCTCTAGAGTTGGAGGAAATCCACCAGGCACTAAAACAACCAATCCAGTAAAGACAACTGATGGCCACAACAGACAGGATCTCACCTAGTCTTTCTTGCAGTTGCACCCGACGGTGCCACATTTTAAATACAAAGAACCAAACCCCTAAGCCTGTCCCCTGCCAGCAGGGAAGTAAGAGCGGGGAGTTGCTGCTGTTGTGACTGTGGGGGTGTTACACTGTGGTGGCAGATGCCAAGCTTGGAACATACGTGGGTAGGTGAGAGCTTATCTTTGGGCTGGATCCTTCAAGTCGTTGGGAACTCTGGTCCCAATCCTGGAAAGCTTTCAGCACATGCTTAGCTCGAGGCATGTGAGTGTCCCCATTGAATTGTGTGAGAGGGACAAAGCACAGAATGCCAGCCCCCTACCTCAGATGGGGCCCAGTTTGAGAATGTATCTCTGCCTTTCCCCACTGCCGTGAGCCTGTCCCTGAAACCAAGCACTGCACCAGGGCCTGTTAGCAGCACCGCTAACAGCTTCATAGATCACTGACAGCTCTGCCAACCTGAAGTATTCAGGAGCATGAGTCAGGCCCCAATGAGTGAGGAGGGTGCATACAAATCATGAAATTTACAACAAAATACCTTTTGGGTTCTTTAAAATGACCTTGGGGGTTCGGAATTTTAAGGATGCTCTTGGTTCACATGTTCAGGCTTTCCTTTACAGACATAAGGGTGAAATCTGAGATTCACATGGACTGAGCTGAGCCAAAGAGCTGGGCCTTGGAGCATGAGACCCGATATTGCAAGGCTTGCAATAAAGTATCAAGACTTGGCAACGCGGCATGTTTAACCAACTGTCCTTTTAATCCCCCCAGCCTCACTCTGTGACCCGTTGTCATATGCAGAGGGAATTACCACCCATCCTTTATTATTAATCACTGTCTGAAAGTCCCTTGTGTCACGCAGGTGTCATTCAGAAAGTCACGTGCCTCCCTGAAGCAATACATATGGGAACAGACTGCGACTGCCAGTGATGACTGAACCTGATGTTACTGGGAACAAAAAGAGCTCTCCATCACGTCTGGCAAAGCATCCTTTTCGCCACGTCAGCCTCTGCCTTCCTCCTGCTTTTGGGACCACGGGGGGCTGGAGTAAATCAGACCTACTCTGGAGGGGTTTCGTTCTTCTCTTTGGTTTATTTACAGCATTGACAAGGCAGTCCTGAGTTGATCTCTTAGCGAAGAAAACCCACAATGCAAAAGAAATATATTTCCTTGTGCCCACCAGAACCTTGGTGCTGGGTTCTGGTCCCCAGCTGTTCCCCAAACAGAAGTAAACTCTGTGTTTCCCTGAGAGGGAGGGGAACATCCCTCTACCTCGTTCTCACTGCTGCAGCTTATTCGACCTCCTCTTGCTCTCTCAGCAGAACAGGGGTTTTGAAAGGTCATGGGCAACCCCTTAATTGGAGTCAGGTGTCTCTAATGAATGTGAGGTAACCTCTTTTCAGTTCATAGTAAAAAGGGCCTTCACTCTACTAGCACTGATACACCTGTCTTCCTCCACTCTTATCCTGTCAGATCTGACTTTTGTCTCACAGGCTTGTAGCGGTTTCTGCCGCTTCACACTGACTCAACAGACATTCTAGGCTTCAGCATGACACGACAATCCCAGCATTGTATTATGGAAATTACTGTTGCTTAGTTTACGCAAGCAAAAAACTAAAGACTTCCCGTGTGCTAGACACAATATTCATCTCTCTCCACTATTCGCAGAAGCACTAGAATATCATGCATCTCTCAAGTATATGGGGGCTATTCTATGCCACCCATTGTGTCCACAGCTGCTTTATATGCTGCTAAAATGGCTTAGGCCATTCTTTCCCTCTCCCACACCTGGCCCTAGAGCGGTCAAGTTTTGCGCACTGACATGTAATATTTTTTACTAGGGAGAGCGAGTCCCTGATCTCTCAGTCAGGATGCCCCGAGCAGTGAGCCAGGTTTGGGGGAGGTAGGAACCTATCTTTGATACCCCCAAGCAGGTGGGGAAGAGGCCAGTTGTGTGGGGTGTATACTGAGCCGGGGGAAGCTAGTAGGAAGCAGAGTATTAGATGAAGTCAGGGCACCTAGGATCAGTGTGGGGTAGGTGCCTCAAACACAGTCCTTAGTAGCAAAGATTCACTCCTCCCTAGGAGATATTTCTATCCCTTCTCTATTTAGCTCATGGCCAAGTCCCACTCCCCAGCAGTACATGATTGAGGTTTTGTAAAAAGCAACAAAGAATCCTATGGTACCTTTAAGACTCACAGATGTATTGGAGCATAAGCTTTCATGGGTGAATACCCAGTGCATGCAGCTGATGAAGTGCAAATTTACCTACAAAAGCTTATGCTCCAATACATCTGTGAGTCTTAAAGGTGTTACAGAACTCTCTCTTGCTTTTTACAGAGCCAGACCAAAACAGCTAGCCCTCTGATGATTGAGGTTTTGTTTATGGTGAACCCTCACTCAGGGCATATTAAGTACAGTTCTGTTGCCCGTTAGTCACATAATAAGGATAATAACATTATTTTATTTATAGTATTATCATTACTCCTACATCCTACATTTTAACCAAAATGTTCACCAGGTATAATGGATATCAGCCATGCAAATAAAGGCTGGCTCATTCTGTCTCTTACTGCATTTCACCAGTGGATGGCAATAAAGAGTGTCTTCCCCCATGATCTTCAAACCCAGAAGTTTGCAGCTCCCTGTATTGATACAGCCCCAGACTTGGCTTTTATATCTGGGGAGGGAAAATGACCCACTTGACCTTAAGTGAAAAGAATCCTGGGAAATATAGTTCAGTAACTGCGTGCACACAGTTGTTTGTCTCTAATTAGCTGAACTGCAGATTGTAATTATGTGGGGGTTTGTTTGTATTAGAACTGCATGACAAGATGCTGGGGTCTGTCTGCATCTCCCCATAACAATGGGGGTAGTTATAGCGCAGAGAAGGACTT